TGAATTAATTTATATTGTTATAAAATTGCCCTGTCATTCTTGCACAGGTTAGAGATGAATTCTTTTGGACACTTGTACATTTTCATCATAGTTTAAAAAGCACACAAAGCACATAGCTTATTTTGCTTTTACTTTATTTTCCATAATACAACGTGTGGTCACAGACCAACTTTAACTTATGCCTTAAAGTTTTTGACAGCGTAGGTCATTTAACAATAATCACAACTTTCACGAAAGGTGAGTTAATGCTACTGAAAAGGACATGTTACTGGGGTCAGGGATAAGAGGATTTGGTTTTATTTGATGCAGTTTTTTGTTCAATGGCACCCGGAGTTTGACTTAGTTGGTTTTAGTGTAGGATTCATAAAGGGTGGTGAGACGATCCTTGAGGTCCTGGGCGTATGGGTCCAGCTTCTCCCTCAGATCTTCAACATAGGGAGCAGCCATTTCTCTCACTTGCTGGGCTTTCTGTGTGAGCTCGCTGTGGACTCTCTCGGTCACGGGGATCGCTTTCTGCTTGAATTCCTCCAGATGGGGTTCCAACTTTCCCTTCAGGTTGTCAGTATATGGTCCCACCAGCTCATGCAACTCCAGCACAGACTGCTCCACGCTGGCCTTCAGATCCTCACTCTTCTGAATCAGAGTGGTCCTCAGGGTGTCGGCGTCCAGGGAGTCAGCATATGGGGCCAGCTCCTGTTTGATCTGCTCCACTCTCTGCTGCATTTGGGTCTTGATGTTCTCAGTGTAAGGCTCCAGTTTCTCCCGGGCTGTGTTCAGCTCCTGGGTCACACGTTCTTTCAACATTTCAGCCTCTGCGGTGAATTTGTTGATCATATCCTGGGTTCCAATAGGAAGCTGCTCCTGCAGTGTGACGGCATACTGGTTGGCCATGTCAGCACCTTCTGTCAGACGGGTGCTAGATAAGCAAGGGGACAAGAAAACAAAAGCAGGACAATGGTTTTTGCAGTTAGTTTCCACATTTTACTAAATATTATCAAGTATTATATAGCTATCTAAATTTCATGGGTGGTCTACCTGAAGTCCTGGCCAATCTGAGACTTTTTGATCATCTGCAGGGTGTCATCAGCTGTCTGAGTGGCTTTTGCAACATAGTCCCAGAAAGCATCTTGCATCACTTCCAGCTGGGGCTTTGGTGCATCAGCATAAAAGAGATTGGCATTACAGCCTGTTGGGCAGACAGAAACACGGTTTAGGAATCTTACAAAAATGTCAGTAGTGCATGGTAAAGGAGCCTTCAAGCTAAAATTATGTTTTCCCAACATACTCACCAGTAAAAACAGCTAGGACGAGCACAGCAAGGACCTTCATGGCTCTTGGACCCTAAGACAAACAAAGAGCAGTTATTAACAAAGCATTTTCACCAGTCAGTAGAACAGTTTAGGTCCTCTTATTTCCTCTTCTTACCTGAGCTTGCAAGTGTATCTGGAAATCCACTTGGTTGTGCTTGTGCTCAGCTGGTAAGATTCTGCAGCTTATATAGCAAGTCAAACAGCAATGATCCCAAAGTCCAAGAGGTAGTGCTTTGCTGTCACCTTGCCTCACCCTTCTGCTCCTACTGAGATCTTGTGCCAGAAAATCAATGCAACACATATGAACAAGTCCCTTTTGTCCTATACATACATACATACATACATACATACATACATACATACATACATACAAACCCTTATGTAATGGTATTTACCAGCCCAGAAATATGATAACAGTTGATTTACTTAAAGACTGATATTGTAGATGATTTCTAGAGTTATACATGCACATAAATATGTGCTTCATTACTATTGGAGTAGAGCAAAATCCATAAGGTTAGCCTTTAATTACCCCTTCATATTTGCCTGTAATCACATACATGTTATCCTGATGCATGCTCATGACACATACCATAGACATAGACACATACATGTTGTTTTTCATAGTTCTGATCCAAAATTACAGGAGCTGCCCCTTTAGTGTCCCTGATTTTATTCTTTCATCTTAAACTTTGCTTTAGCTTATCACTTCGCCAACAAACGTTACAGTAATCAACAGTCCTTGTTTCTGTGTCATGCCAATGTTCACCAACTGTATGTATCTGTCTGGTCAAAGGTTAGTAGATTCCGTCACCGTCAGCTTCAGAGGGACAAAGTAGCTTCTGGTTCATACCAAACAAACCATAGTGCAGTTCAAAGTAAGCAGTGTTTTAAATGGTTTCATGTTTTGTATGTTTTTTTTTTAGTTTTTTATCCAAGTTGTGACCATATTTATTCATATAAAAATTCAATGGGATGATTGAAACATTAAAACCATTCTTTTAAATAAAAATATATTGAACATTTCAACTTTTAATACTTGTACAAATGCGGTCTATGGCAGCCGTTCGTTATATCATAATACTTCATTCATCCTAAGGGTCAGTGGAGGTGGGATAACCCTCATTTGCAGATTTCCACCATTTAAAGAAAAAATCAGCCGTGTTTCAATACGGAAAACATGGCTCGGAATAAATTAATAACAACCAAAGTTCACAACGTCCAATTAAATCTAAAACACTCAATTAACTATACATAATATTTTTATTTATTTAAACAAAGAAAGTGTATAGTTTCAAGTTTTACTATTCATCTCATGACAAAGTCCACTGGTTGAAGCATCCAGGATTATCTTGAATTATCTGGTAAGGCTGGACTACGTGGAGAGGTAATTAAAGTACAGATCTTATTAAAGCGGGGGGTTGGGGGGGGTGGGGTCAAAGGAGAATTGATAGTATTTGTTAGGAAGTGAGACATATTATGTATGAGTGTTTCTAAAATCCAGCAGCTTTGTGATAACATCCAGGAGCAGCAGCAGATATGAGAAAAAAAGAGCTGCTGTGATAGCATGGCAGGAACTCCTGGACTTTGGGCTCGTAACTACAACTGTCATCTGACTTCACTATAAATACATGGCAGACGCAGCCTCACACAGTCACTAACACATTACAGCCAGAAAGAAACACAAGGCTAAAGCAGGTGAGAATAGCACAGAATTTGAAACAATGTTTTTAAACAGTTTGACTATGTTAATGCAGATTTTAACGTTAATTTGTCTGTCACGGTCTTTTAGGAGTTCACAGTCATGAAGGTGTTTGTTATCTTAGCTGTTGCAGTGCTCTCTGGTAAGTTTTGAAATGAAGATAAAATATGTAACAATATGAATTAACAGATCACAAATCGGCCGTTCATCCCTCGGGTAATTTCCTTTTTGTATAGGCTGCAATGCCAACCTCTTTTATGCCGATGCACCCAAGCCACAGCTGGAAGTCCTAACTGATGCTTTCTGGGACTACATCGCCAAGGCAACACAGACGGCTGATGATACCCTGCAGATGATCAGGAAATCACCAATTGGACAGAAAATCAAGTATGTTGATGTAACCGACTTGTGGGGGCACATTATGTTTTGATTTTTTAACATCTTATTTTTGTCTTCCAGTACCCGCCTGACAGAAAGCACTGACTTGGCTAGCAAGTATGCAGTCACCCTGCAGGAGCAGATCTCCCCTGCAGCTCAGGATCTCATGAACAAGATCACCACAGAGGCTGATATGTTGAAAAGTACACTTACCCAAGAGCTGAGCTCTGTCAGGGACAAACTGGAACCCTACACTGAAAACATGAAGGCCCAGATCCAGCAGAGAGTGGAGCAGCTGAAACAGGAGCTGGCCCCCTATGCTGACTCTCTGGATTCTGAGGCCTTGAGGTCTACTTTAATGCAGAAGAGCGAGGAGCTGAAGATCAGCCTGGAGAAGAGTGTGAAGGACCTGCAGGCCCAGCTGGGACCATACACTGATGACCTGAAGCAGAAGGTGGACCAGCATTTAGAGAATTTCCAGAGAAGTGTGACCCCCTTGACCGAGAAGGTCCAAGTTGAGCTGAGTCAAAGAGCCAGTTTGGTGAAACAAATGGTGGCTCCCTACGCTGAGGATCTGAGAGAAAAGCTTGACCCCTACGCCCAAGACCTCCAGGCCCAGCTCATGTCTCTATATCAGTCATTTATTGATGCCAACTAAGTCAACCTCCACTTCTTTAGACATAATTTAACACTAACCTGGCCTTATCGGTCTATCTGTGTGATTCATGAAAGCTCACGAAGCTTAAAAGTCTTGGACTGTATTGAATCAAGCTGTGTGAATATGAACGACTCAATATTTATTGCTAAATACAAAAATACAAAACAAAACCATGCACTTGTCAGTCATGTATATAAATATTGTTTTTACTCTGTTGTGAAAGGAAACTGGCTTCTTTTTTTTTGTAATTTATGTAAGTTATAAAAATAAACAGTTAAAGACAAAAATGTAAAAACATGTCCATTCTTGTTTTCATTGAACACTTTCCAAAAATACAGGAAAATAAGCAACATTTTCAGACATTTGTCTTCACAACCATTCAGAGCAAATAGCCTATTTACCCATCTGAAATCACACAGCACTGATAATAATTAGTCTCAAACCATGGTTACTCTGAGACGTGTGTTTTCCCCAGCAACTGGTAATTTGACTTTATCTCCCGTGTCTCAGCATGCCTTGGCTTCTGTTACAGTTTCGTCTCAGAGTTTCTCCAGAGGCAGACCATTGTTCTTGTCAATGCTTGTCATGAAAGGGCACCTAAAGTGTGTTATCACTAAAATCAAGCAACAACTGAAACAAAAAAAGCTCTCCTAGATCAATATGACTGAGGGAAAGAGTCACACAGTCAAAGATGCTTTGAATATATGTTTTACTTTTTGTTTTGATGCTGCTTTGAACAGCAGATAATTCTCCCGGTCATAAAAAAAAAACACCTAATGCACGTTGTGCAATTTCTTTTTGTTATAAAAGTAAGGCTTGTCTTTCTTATCCCCTCCTGGCTAACTGAGCCAGCATCCAACGTGGAGGGTTAGAGTCCAGCGTCAATTGTGCAAACATGAACACAAGCAAATGCAACTCATGTATGTGCTATGACTGTCTCAAAAAAAAAAAAAAACAGCTACAAATACTGTTGTGGAAATATGTAACAATCTGACATATTACACAGACATTTGTAAAAATAAATCTTTGATTTATGTCTTTTTGTCCATTTCAGAATACAATATATTTTACATTACACTGGCATCTTTTCTGCTCATTTTCTATCACACAAAAGGTCAAGGGGAATGTTACGTTTATTATTCATGAACAGTTTTTTATTTATGTTTTATTACATAACGTCTATGGAGGGTTTGTGCTTTGTAAAATACAAGCTGATGTATTAAAGTTGTTAAATTAAACAAATAAAAGTTGCTAACAACTAATAAAATCATTAAATGTGGATTATTGAACATCAGATCTTTCTTCTATGTGTGTTAGTTAATGATCTGATAACTGATCATCATATTGATTTATTCTGTCTAATAGAAACCTGGATACAAAAGGAGGATTTTGTTAGTATAAATGAATCCACTTCTGCTAAATATTTAAAATGTCATGTCACTTGAACAACAGGCTGAGGTGAAGGAGTAGCTGATATATTTCAGTGAGGATTATTGATTAATGCTAAATTAATTATTAGTTATAATTATTTTGAGTCATTGTCCCCCAGTTTTTCACATCCAAAATGGGATCAGAAAAGCCACTTTTACTTGTTGTTATACATCGTCTACCAGGCCCTCATTTTTGTTTTTTGTCTGAATTCTCAGATTTTTGTTGGACTTATTACTGAATACTGATAAAGTCATAATAAAGGGGATTTCAATATTCATGTAGATGTTGAAAGTGATAGCTTAAGCATAGCCTTTAATAATTTAATAAGATCAATTGGTTTTACCCAAAATGTCAGAACATCTACTCATTCTCATCATCACACTCTTGATTTGGTTTAAACATATGGCATAGAGATTAAGTAAGTAATAATATACCCAGAAGATCGGGTTTTGTCTGATCATTTTTATCAACCATTGCGTTTACATTAACTGACTACATAGCCACTAAGAGTAAATTTCATAGGTGTTTATCAGAGAGCTCTGTTTCTAGATTTAAAGAATCTCTTCCAATGTTGTCTTCCTCTGTAATAGAGAGCAGTGACTTGGATGATCTTGTTGATAATTTTACAATTTCATTGCAAACTTCACTTGGTAGAATTGCTCTGCTGAAAAAGAAAATGATCAGTCAAAAGAAACTGGCTCCTTGGTTCAATTCTGAGTTACATACTTTAAAAAAGGCATCTGAAAGAAAATGGTACTCCATTAATGTTGAATAACTTTATTTAACTTGGAGAGCAAGCTAACATATAAGAAAGTTCTCCGTAAAGCTAGAACTGTATATTATTCATCTTTAACAGATGAGAATAAAAATAACCGCAGGTTTCTGTTCAGTACTATGATAAATCCTATTGTTGGCTTGGGTTCCCTGAACTATCCCTTATAGTGTTTCCCCTAAATAACTTGCCATGGTGGGGCGATCATCTCGTCCATGATTTTTGTCAATGAAGACACATCTGAGCTGCGTGCTGTTTGTTTGGACCAGCTATTTATTTTATTTTTTTTTTGGGGGGGGGGGTGGCTGTCATCGTGAGGGAAGAGGCAGCGTGAGTGCTGCCTTTAGCTTTTTAGCTGATGCCTGTATTGCGCACTGCTAGCTTATCTCTACTACGGGGGGTGGGAGGGGGAGGGTGGCTTGTTTCTATTGACAGGGCAGGATGCCCCGCTTGTATAATGGTAGGGGAAACACTGCCTTAGTTATGCTACTATAGGCTTAGAATGCTTGAGGACAAATTGACCACATTTCCTCACTCTGTTGCTGTCTTTACTTGCTCTACTCCATGTTTGTGTTCGTAATTATTTCAATCCTTAACATGTATTTTTTGTCTTTCTTCCAATAAAAAGTACACCTTGACCTGCCGTTCTATGTTGGTCTCTTTCTCCTTCCTGTCCTCTATAAAGTCAAGCTGGTCAAAGCAGATGGTTGCTAGTCCTGAGCTTGGTTCTGCTGGAGGTTTCAGGGAGTTTTTCCTTTACACTGTTGCCTTTGTGTTTGCTCAGAATGGGAAATTATGATGAAGTGAAGATTCAATACAAACTGATAACTTTTACGAATTGACTTTTTTTAAATGTATGTGAATGTTTTTATACAGTACCCTGAGGCTACGCCTGGTGTGACTTGGAACTATATACTAGTGATACACGATATTGGATTTTTGGCCGATATCCGATATGTTGAAACTTATTTGGACAATAACCGATGCTGATACCGATATTTTATATATTGTCCTTTGTCAGAACATGGCCCTCTTATTTAGGCTTATTTGCTACAAAAATTGTACAAGAGCTGTAAGAACTGGTGACATATATTCAGTAACAGCCATATGATATGCATAGCACTTTGACTTGTATGAAATGAAATGAGTTAAATGTTATTTATTAGCATTAGTCACCTGCGATGCTGTCTCACTTGTGAAAGCTTGTTCCAGGTGCCTAGCTGCAGTCTGGGATCCTCTGCACTCCTGTGCGTGAAGGACAGACTTTTTAAGTTCAAAGTTTTTGTCTATCCATTGTGCCGTAAGACTAATCATGCTAACGGGGCTAACGCGACATCCAAATGTCTGTGATAAAACTCACCCAACAAGTCGTGCTATCGGCTATTAGCTTCTCAGTGACGTTGGAAATGGCAGCTTGTAACTCGGGTAACGTTGCGTCGGAAAAATATGTGACTGCGGACGATATAGCAAGGCTCAATGTAGTCCATAAATCTTCGGAATCTGACATCCTCACCAACAAAAAACAAAACTTCCACACCAGCGACATTTTGAATTTTCCTCTCCACCGTGAGCTCGGGTAGGCGCACGTGACTTCATTGCGTTGGCTGCCGCTGCAACGTCATCCCGTTGTGCTGCAACGTCATCATGTTGTGCTGCCGCTGTAGGCAAAAACAGCACCTTTTATATCGGTGAGTTATTTTAATGGAATGTCTGATGTCCGATATTGAAATTTAACGTTAATATCGGCCGATACCATACCGATAATATCGTGCATCCCTACTATATACTGTAAATAAACTGAACTGAGTTGAGTTGAAGCTAAATGAAACAAAAGCTCCATGTCTGTGCTAATATAGATGCAATCTTTTATGTGCCTGTTCCAGCCTGTTTTGGGTCTGATTAGCAATTATGTGAGCACAGAGAAACAATCAGACTGCGTTATCAGTCTGCATGGCCTAAAGGCGTTAAGTCTTTGACTCCAATGGACCAATGGTATGTTTATTACCTGAGACAGATATTAGCCCAATTCAATCATTAAAATTTAGGGTTTAGGATCGATACAATGTTACAACTTTTTCTTCTTGCCTTACATCCAATAATAGCAGACTTTGGAATTGTTTCAGTGAAGGTAAAATGTCATTTTAGAATATCAGTTTGAAAAGTAGGGGACTGTTAAAGTTGCATGCCGTTTGTAACATGCAGCTTGAATGTTTTATTGTAACATGCAGCTTGAATGTTTTGTTATCTTGTCCCTGCTATCTTTAATACCAAAGCATGCTGTTTTACTTTAACACTTACTTTTCCATGTCTCAGCCACGTGTTTCAGTTCTTAAGTTTACGTTATGCAATTTTTTGTGTAAAGAGCCAAAAACAGCATAATCACAGCCTGTTATGATACCCTGGGTAAAATTGTATGAAATGACACACACTCTGTCCTGACTTTATCTATACATCTGATTAATGATATGCATTTTCTATTTATTTTTAAATTATTAAGAATATCAGTTCATAATCAGATGTGAGATTTTAATGTGGTTTGTATAATCCCATTTGAATTTCTGAGTTCCAAGTCAAAACGATCAACTGGAATATCCATAGAATTCAGGATTCTGGTTTGGAAATTCAGGAGGGAGTTTCAGGGACTTGCCCAAAGACACTTCGACATGCTGCAGGGTCTGTATATTGAACACTGAAGACGACTTCCCTACCCACTAGTTGAGGTATCCAAACATGGATACCTTTCACACAAAAGTTATTTTATTTAATAACAATTGATCAGAACTTTGTCATTTTTAATATTGGTCGAACACATATCACAGTTTAACTGATATGAGTGAACTTATTGTTTTAAATAAAGTAAATGAAAAACAAACAATTGTGTGATTGCCTTTTGTTGCTAACTGAAGTCAACTTGGTAACTGAGTGCAACAATGAGTAAATCTCACTGGTTTTCTCATTTGCAACAGGAACACAGTTCAGTTGGGTGCAATATTATTCTCAAATTTGAGTTCTGACTTTG